CGGGGGTGTTTCAAAATCCTTCTGTTAGACCTTAGCTCCTTTGGCCCTAGGTTCTGCTTAATGGGGACTGCCCCAGAAAAAGGTGATCCGCTGTTACGTCCACACTCTGAAGGGGTCTGCCTGACCCTGTTGGGTAGAGGGCATTAGACAGATCCCCCTTCTTGGGGGCTGAAGGGTTTGAGTATCTGAAAGAAGACCCAGAAAAAGGCAGGCCTTTCTCCATCTCCAGCTGCTGTGTCCATGCGTGCGTGTGGCCGTAGGGCTCCTGAGACGTGCCCTTCCTCTTGCTCTCTGATTCTCTCTGATTCACATCTTCCCTCGCTCCTCACCGAATCTCCCTGGCCCAGTGGGGACTGGATAACCTGCTGAGGCCTGGCCTCTCTTCCTGTCCCCTTACCTGGCTCTGGTTGGGAGACTTTCCGGAAGGCAGAGGGTGGGCATGGCTTTCAAAGCCCAGGTATTTACTGCCAACCAAAGAGGTCCCTCAGCCACAAGGTAACAACCCCAGAGATGTCTCTCTGCTTCCCGCAGGTCAGAAAGCTGTCTCTCAGGCGGGGTGGCTTATGAGGGTCAAATGTGAGGGTCAAAAATGGCAGCCCTTTCAGTTCCAGCTGTACAGGCTGACAAGTTCAGGCCCCAGAGTCTGAACAGCAGCTGCTGAGCAGCTGTGTGACACTGGGCAGGTGTCTTTCACTCTCTGGACCCTGCTTTCCGTTCTCAGCGGTGAGAGAGTTGGCCCAGGTGATCTACCAGGTGCTTCCAGCTCTGCTGTCCTCAGGTTTTACTCTGTGGTTCCTCTCTCCATTCCCTGAATTTTTCCTCCTCCTCATTTTCTCCCTCAACTCTATCCTCCTCTCCAAACCGTCCTTCCCCTGGGGAAGACTGGCTCAGCCCTGGGGATGTGCTGCTCTGGGTTTGGGGTTGGGGTACCAGGTGCCAGAAGACATGAGAAAAATACCTTTGAAATGAGGAAGAAACTCAGGGACGTGCCCACGTGGGGACACCAGTCTGGAGGGGTTCACAGGAGGCCCTCCATCTGGGGCTTGCCCGTCCCATCCCAGCCTTGTCAGGAAGATCTGGTCTTCATTCCCAGGCCTCAGAGAGACCGCTCTGAACTTCACACTGGACCTGGATGTGATGATGCCGCGGAAAAGGCTGCAGTGCTCGGACGAGAGGGCGTGTCGGGGCAGCCTCCGGGACTGGGACGCTGGGCCCCATCTCTGCAAGCCTTTCCTGCTCATCCCCACAGAGGGGCAGGTGGGTGTGGGAGTTTCGAAGAGAGTTCAGAGGCGTCTGTGTGGTTGAGAAAGGAACCGGGTGCATGCAATGGAGCCCTCACACCCGGACACACAAACAGGCAACTAAAATAATCACAGGAGATCAAAAACTACATGATGGCATGGGAGATGGGAGTTATGATACCAGAAAGCCAAATTAAAGAAACCTACTGAAATCAACCACTCAGTAAATCTCGGAGCTTCCTTGAAGCTGACAAAAAGGGAAATACTTTTTGTTTGTTTGTTTTGGGCAGGGAGGCAGTTAGGTTTGTTTATTTTTAATGGAGATGCTACAGATTGAAACTAGGACCTCCCGCGTGCTAAGCACATGCTCTACGAGTGAGCTATACCCTCCCCCAGGAAACGCTTCAGTTGCTGACATTTTCCTTGGTAATAAATTGGAAATAACAGGGCTCCCTCCCCCATGCCACCTACTCTTACGTGGTAATAGGAGTGGGGCACAGGGACTTTATTTATGTGGGTCAGCATCAGAAAAATTGAACGAGGGAAAGTAGAAATAGAAAGACAAAGGCTGTCATTTATAGACATTTACTCCCAACCAAGGTGCCTAGAGACATAGAAAAAGATGTATTTGTCAGGACCCAGAGCCTGACAGGACCCAGAATTTTGGACCTAAAAGGATCATTTATTCCAGTAAACTCATAAATTATACTTCTGACTGCACATCTGTTCCCACATCTTTTCTGATTGTTAATTGGATTCAGGAAGAATTTTTAGCAAGTCTGTGGCTTCCTTACATACAAGTGTAGCTACCTTTTCCACCTGGGAATCATGTTCACCTACTCTCAGGCATTCACAGCTCCTAGCTGGCAGGTCTCAATAAACAAAGAGAATGGCAGATGGCATCCCAGGCCATCTCTTTGCCTTCAGGTTTTCTTTCTTTGATATGTGCTCCATGCTGCTTCAAGAAAGATCTTTGTAAACACAGATGAGACCACGACTCTTCCCTTTCGTGGCTCCCTTTTGTCCTCTGAATAAAGTCCAAGCTGGTTTTGAACTCCTGATGGCCAGAATCCCTTTGCGGATGGCAGGAACCATTAGGTGTCATAAGGCCTGAGGCAGATCATGGGAGATTTTCCCAATGCTCTTGGCAGCTTGGTTGAGGGAAGTGTCCCTTCAGCCTGGCTTACTGGGAAAAGGCTTGGGGCTCTGGGCTCACCAGTGTCACTGTCTGTTTCCTGTTATGACTGTATTCAAGTTAAAAGTTTTCTCCTTGCATCTTCTCCCCCACATCCAACTCCAACCCTGCACTCCTTGGTGACTCTGCAGCTCTGTCAGGAGGACTGCTTCTCCAACATCAGCATCAGGGTCAGCTACCAGCTCCAGACCCCTGAGGGCCGGAGGGACCACCCCCAGCCTGTCCTGGACTTATACACTGAGCCCTCCACCATCTTCCAGGTGACTCAGCTAGGACCAGACTCTCCTGGGAGCATTCCCCCCCAAAACACCTGCTCCCCCAACTTGAGAGAATGTTAAAGTTGGGAGGGTCTTCAGACAGCACTTGGGCCCCTCACTGTACAAATGGGGTTAGAGAGCGATTGAGATGACATTACTTTCCCCAGGGCCTCCCTGATGGGTAACACTGGTCTCCAAACTACCCCAAAGCTAATTTTTTTATGTTCACAAAAAGTGCTTGCGATGTATTTGATGAAACATATGAATACCCGGCTTGGCAAGGGTCTTTGATAACAGTGTGGTGGGGGATCCTGTGTAGGGACTGGACTGGAGCCCACCTGCCCTGCTCTCTAGAGAGGATATGCTTTGGTGCACCTGCCTACCCGGTCCTGGCCAGGGGCTTCAGGCTAAGTGGCCCACCAGACCTGCACCCCAGCAGGCAGGTAGTATCACAAGAAACCGTTTTCACAACTGCAGGAAATCAGAGGGGGAAAATAAACAGTCAAATTTTGATTTTATGATATCCCTTTGTAGTTAAAAATATCTTATGGGGAGATCCTTTGAGATTATGTGATATATCCTATGATATATCCTGTCTAACATCCATTCATGATTTTTATCTTAATCAGTGATTACTTGGATGGTTTGGCTAAGAGATTAAAAAAAAATTTACCCCACCTAGAAAATGGGTGAGGAGAAATGATTAGGTGTTAGGTTAAGCACAGAGATGTTTCCAGAGGATGAGCTCAAGCTGGGAGCTTAGGATATTTTAGTCCTGCTCTCTATTTCACTCTAGTGAAAGAGAGCAGGCTGCTTGGCTATACTAAAAACAAAATGAAAAAAAAAAAAAAACCTGCCCCAAATTGTTGACCCCGTCAGAGAGGGCTCCAAGCTTGGACTTCTGCAAACTGCATCTCCCTTCTCGGAAAGCAGAAGGTTTCCTTTCTAGCTCTCTGGGCAGGAAACGGTCCCTGGCTGCCAGGAAGGTAAAGGCAGAGATCCTCCAGTTAGGGAGCTGACTGTGTCTCCTTCATAATAAAAATAGACCTAGCTCCTTTAGAAAATTTGATTTTCAATCTGAGCTGGAAATTTTCAACCTTGACTGGGCCTTTGGACCCAGGGTGACTTTCTGAATTAGCCTGTTTTGGTGTAGGCAGGATTGCAAAGGGGATATTTAACCTACAGAGACTAGCCATGGGGGCTGAGGGCCTTGACAGTACTGGGTCAGGTCTCCCCCATTTGTGCCCCTGTTGTTCCTGCCTCTGCTTAAAGGGACTAAAGGAGCTTTTCTTCACATGGGTTTTCCTCCCTGAGATATTCCAAATAGTGAGTTGTGGGGGGAGGTATAGCTTGGTGGTAGAGCGCATGCTTAGCATGCATGAGGTCTTGGGTTCAATTCCCAGTCCGGCCATTAAAAAAAAAGGAGTCGGGGAGGGTAATTGCTCAGTGGTAGAATCCCCTGCTCCAAAAAAGGCAAAGTGGTGATTTGAGAGTGTTGCTGCTTAATGAACATGATATGAACGTGACAGGTACTCCCACCATTTCACCAGGGCCACCCTGTTTTTGACCTTGGTCAGAGGCCTGACGCATGGTGTACCTGTGTTGTAGGACCAAGCATACCCCCATCCCTGATAGATCAAGGAACATCACAGTCACCCCTGTCACGGCCACGCGGACACAGCCTCAGGCTGTCAACCCTGCCTGCACTCCTCGGAGTGAGCAGGAGGGACAGGCAGGTCCTAGGGAGAAGCTCAGGAGGCAAGACTGCTGGCGGGGGCGGGGTCCCTGGGCTGACCCTGCCCCTCTCTGTCTGCTTACAGCTGCCCTATGAGAAGGCCTGCAGGAATAAGCTGTTTTGTGTCGCAGAGTTACAGTTGGCCACCACCGTCTCTCAGTGAGTTGGATCCAGCGTCATAATTTTTGCAGTTAACTTCCTCCTGGAGGCTCATGGGGGCAAACACCTCACCAGGACCGATCGCTCACCTCCCCGACTTCCCCTCATGGCCCACAAAGGGCTTTTGCATTGACTGATTGACAAAGTGAAAAAGAGCTGCTTTATTGCTTAGAGAGAGAGGGAAATAAAAGGCAAAAAAGAAGACACTCAGGCAGGGAGCCGTCAGCCAGGTGGCCAGCTGACACAGCTCAGCCCCTGATCAGGCCACAGGGTCTTTTGTTGGAAGGCTCTGCCATGTTATCTTTATTCAGTGGAGCCAGTCACCTTCTGTTATCTCCTGAGTCCTCCATCACCCAATGAGGGAGGCAGGACAAAGATCTGTATTCCCATTTTATAGATGAGAGAACAGACTTGGTAGTGGAGGGCCCACGTGGGGTCAGGCGGTCATCGGGTAGCCTCAGAGCCGGGTCTCTTGACATCCTGGACAGTGCCATTTTCATAACCCAGTGTCTCTCACTCTAGGACCACCTCAACAGTAACTTCTTCCCTGGCTCGTCTCTAAACCAAATTACTTAATTCATTAAATATTTATGGAGCCTCTCTTCTGTGCCAAGTACTCTAGGTGTTAGAGATACGTCCGTGAACAAAAAGTCCTCTGGTGCTTTTAGGGGGAGAAGATAATAAATGAGCCCACTTTTTGTTGATGAGATGTACTATGAAGAAAAATAAGGCAGGGAAGGTGGGAGGAAGTGCCTGGTAGAGGCAGGGTTGCAGTTTTAAGTAGGGTGGTCAGGAAAGGGCTCGCTAGGAAGGTGACATTTAGGTACACGCGAGAGGAGGTCGAGCAATGAACCATGCGGGTGAATGAAGGAAGAGCACCTGTGAACGCCCTGAGTTGGGAGCCTGGAGGTGGGAGGCGGGGCCAGGACACCAGTGTGGCTGCAGCAGAATGAGGGAGGGAGAGGTGATGTGAGGGGAGGAAAGGTCATTTGTGGCTGCGTCTCCATAAAGGCTTTTTACCGTGAGCTGGGAAGTCAGGGGAGCGGCCGTGATCCTGCACTTTAACGGGATCACTCTTGCGGCTGTGTTGAGAATAGCCTGTGGGAACAAAGGCGGAAGCAGCGATTTAGTAAGGAGCTATTGTAATAACCCAGGTGAGAAGTGATGTGACTTGGGCAAGGGTGTTAACATGAAAGTAGTTATATTTTGAAGTCAGAGCCCACAGGATTGGATGACAGACTGGATGAGGGGAGTGAAGAGAGAGAGGGGTCTAGGAAGTCTTCCAAGGTTTCAGCCTGAACCTCTGGATCTGTGTGTTCAATACAATAGACTGGTCAGATTTGGTTACTTAAGTTAAAATGAATTGAAATCAAATAAAATTTTAGTTCCTTAGTTGCATGTGCTCCATTCCCACATATGGCTGGCTGGTGATACTGAACAGGACAGAGAGAGACCATTGCCATTACTGCAAAGTTTTACTGGGCCACACTGAATACTAGAATGACGGCGATGCCAAGAATTGAATTGGGGAAGCTTTTGCAAGAGCGGTTTTGGAAGGCAGGGTGGGGAGGAAGAGATCATGACTTTCGCTTTAGATATGTAGTGGTCTTAAAAATGCCCTCCCTGGCCCCTAGTGCTGTGTGTGTGACGTGGCACTGATGGCCAGCTGGCATCTCTAGGGAAGAGCACTGTTCTCTGAGTCCTGGTAAGCCCCCTCGTAGACATTTGCAGGACTTGTGTTTCAGATGTGGATGGCTTAGTGCTGCCCCCTCTCCAATCACCAAGGATCCAATTCAAGATTTTTTAGTGCTTTGGAATCCAGCCTAACAAGTAGATGCAGTTGTTTCCAACAGGGAGTTAATTACTGCCAAGAATGCCCTCCTGGCCAAGTCCTTGTGAAACAGACGTCGACCAGCTGGCCCTACACCACCCCCTAGTGTACACAGCTAGCAGTCTCTTCTTCAGAAGTATTGAGCCTAATCATTAGCATCCAAATGTCTCCGTGGTTTTGACCTTTCTGTGGACTTGGGTCTCCTAAAGAGTCTAAAGGAAACTACAGACCCTTCTCCCTGGAAGGTAACACATGGCGTACATAGGTGTTTGCATTTGGGGCCCTCTGAAATTGTTCCTGGCCTTCAGGTTAAGAACCTCTGATAAATATTCTGATGACTCTCAGACCTCTCTCCTGGGCTCAAGAACAGGATACCCAACTGACACTTCAACATCTAGGCCTTTCTATCCTCTTGACACCTCTCATCACACCCCGACAGACCTCATCTGGTCAACATCCGCCCTCTGGTCTTCCCTGTGTTCTTGCCCTCATGACTAGCCCCACTTGGTCATCCAAGCTGGGAATTCAGAACACATCCTGACTCCTCTCTCTTTTTGGCTCCGCTTGCAAGCGTGGCCTTGTCAGCCAGTGGTTTCTATCACCCCCACCCCCCACTACTATCTATTTCGGGCAGGTGTCATGTCACAGTTGGATCCCACACGGGCTCAGTCTCTGCCCCCTCTGGCCTTCCAATCACTCTATCCTCTTCTCAGCTGTGATAAAAACAAAACACAAGACATGTGTCAGCATTACTCCCCAGAGCCATCTTTGAAATATTTCAGACGGTGACAAAGTTGTCTTTGTTGTTGATACATTTTCCTGCAGCGCTGGATTTCTGAGAGTGGTTCTGCACTCGGGGACCCCACAGTGCCTCAGTGGACTGAAGGATGCTCTCACCCATCCCCAAGTCTTCTCTTCTTCAGGCGCAACAGACTCGTGTTTTAAACCACAGCCTTCAAATTGGGAGGGACGGGATGATTTTGCAGGTGGGAAGGCTGGGGTTGAGATGGGGCAAGGGCAGCGTCTGTCTCCTGCTGGCTGTTTCTCCCATGTTGAGCAGGGTGCCTGGCACAGAGAAAGTTCTCTGTAAATATGTGTGAAATGGATGAATTTGTGTTACCAAATACATTGCTTAGGGTCACAGTGGTAGAAGGAAGATAAGGTCCACTTCTCCCAAGTCCCTTTTGAGGCTGTTAGACCTCAGGCAAGTTAGTTAGCCTCTCTGGGCTTCTGTTCTCTTCTCTATAGAACGGAGAGTAACCATACTCTCATAGGGTTACTACGAGGATTAATTGAGCTTGTGAAGCGTTTAGCACAGTCCCTGACACTTGGCAACCAGTAGATAAATGGTCACGTCACACAGCAACTGTGTGGGTGTGGCAGTCCAGGGGTTTGCTTCTGCTGAGGGGAAGAGAATCAAGGCTAAAAATATCCTTTAGGCAATTTATGTAAGATGTTAGTTAAGCAGGCGCTGTTGTATTGCACTGTTTTTACAGACTAAATCAACTGTTTATCTATTTGCCTACCCTGTGCAGGCAGGAATTAGTGGTGGGTCTCACAAAGGAGCTGACCATGAACATCAGCCTAA